GCCCTGGGGGCACGGGCCCCACTAAAATTATTTTTAATATCTAATTAAGTATATTTACGAGACATTTATTATAGATTAAATCATACTAGGTTTTTTTTCTTCCCAAATAGAAATCCCACCTCTTTGCTTTTTCACGCGCGTTAAATCTTGGCAATCAGTAAATCCTGCCCTTATTTGTCGAAATGAATGGAGGAATCGCTCCATCCCGCCACCTCATCTTCTCCGAGTGGTCTTCCTCTCCTGCATGCTCCTTCGTCTTCATCCGCACTCGCCAGCAGGTAAACTTTTTCTCTGTTTGTCTTCTTCTTTGTCCGTGTTGGTATGTTCTTCCTATTTCTGCTTTTTTTTCTGTAGTTAATCCGGTTTGTTGTGGATAGAAGATAGTGGAAAAGACTAATGCATCGGCACTATTAATAGCTCACTTCCCGTTTGCTTCCAAACCCTATATTTTTTTCTGAACTCTCTGTTTATAGAATTTACTCATTTAGATGCTTGTCCTTTTATTCTACTAGTTTTTGTTTGCTAGTTAAGCAAAAAGTTCTGTAAGAAGCAAATGAATAAACAAAAGGGAAATATAACAGTTTTCCTATTATGGTTTTCCCTGTAATGTAGTGGCATGTCTTAGATTGCTTAATTAATTATTTTCATAATAACTCATGTCATATTGTTCTAAATATCATCATTATGTGGCCAATTTTAATCCACATAGTTGAACGGATATTCTTAAAGTCCAAAACATCACAATCTCTGGCTTCGTAGTTTGTAAAAAACTTCCATCTTAAAATTTCCCATTCAACTTACCGAACTAAAATATTTTACTTAAATAATTTGTGCCCCACAAGAAAAAATTCTTGGCTCCGCCCCTGGGTATTAGATTTAACTTATGTGAAGAAAGGTAGAGGCAGACCTAAAAAGACTTGGTTAGAAAATATTAGGAATGACCTTTCTTTATTAGATTTAAATGAGAATTTGACCTTTAATAGGACACAATGGAGAAAAAGGATTCATGTAGCCAACCCCACGTAATGGGATAAAGGCTTGATGCTGTTGTTGTAAAGAAAACCATAAGAGGAAGTTCAGTAAAATTTAAACATAAGAACAGTGGGTACATGATATATCATCACCATCAACAGTATTAGTCTTACACTCTTACCCCAACTATTTGTAGGAGTATAAGCAAATGAAATGAGAAACATATTTTCCTATCTTTTCAAAAGTGAGAAATCCCACAAATCTGATCCAATTCAGTCGGTTAGGAAACTTTGAAACTATTATAAATTCAGCATTTTGATTACAATAAACAGCATTATAGTAGTAAAAACAAATTAATTAACAAATACACTGCATACCTTTATGAAGAGAAGGGTTGACGCATCATAGATAAGGATTAATAAAACTCATTCTTAAACAAAAGTGTTATTCATATATTTGCTAGTGTTGCGAGCTACATGGAAGTTAATGATGTATCCCTGTATTCTAATTCTTGACCATTATAAATTTTCAAATTTTAATAATATAGAAATGCATTGAAAATACTAGATGAGAAAGCGCATACTTCTGTAGGTAGTTCTAAAGAACTTTGCATATGTCAATACATAGCAAAAATGACCTTGCATGCTGGAAGCAAGTAAATCTAGACCTGATAGTGAATCCAAAAATGGACTGGCTACCTTTGATTAATTGAATGATAGTTGAAGTTTTATACATGTGAATGCATTCAAAGGCTTCCTATGCTTGCTACTTTTATCACCACTCTTCACAAGCATGAATTAGATGTTTTCAACTCCTCAATGCTAAAATAGGGTGTTGGAAGGATTCGTTGCACGAGACTCCAAACTTATGACAATTCATTTATTAATGCATTGCTTTTGGATTTCTTTGTTTTCATAAAATCTCCACATCAAAAGCTCATTTGTGCAGAAAACACGTATCAAAATCCCTACGACATGTATGCGCCCCTTTCACCGCTACACACATTCATAGAGAAAGCACTTGTGGAGCAATTTGTCCATCTTGTGCATAATCCATAATTTGTTTCGAGCATTGTAACATGGCATTACTACAACAATGCCAAACAAAAAGCCAAGTTATAAAAACTAAAAAAATATGCATAATCACTTCAAATCATAATATGTCGAAGGCAACCCATAAAGCCTATTGCTCCTACCAACAAAAAAAGAACATAGAACAAATCAAAAGAAAAGCAGCTTAGCAAGCGAATCAACAGTTTACATTTTTTTTCGAATTTCAACTTGCTTCTGTTTACGTTCATATTCTTGTCTAATCTTCCTCTTTTCAGCCTCAACTAGTTGCAGCTTCTCAATGTTAAATTCCTGAAAATAAAATGGTTCAAAAACACTCGTAAGATTTAAACCTAAAATGAAAAAAGGATAAAAACAGTTAAGCCATCACAAAGCAACTCAGTGGATCAACAGGCAACAAAAGTTTCGCCAAAACATAACCATCATCTAATGTAAATATAAAAGCACCGCCTCATCATAAACATGGTTACAATACACTAACAAAAGTACAAGACATAGCCCAAACGGCATATCATTCCATTTGGCAGGGAGTTTTTAGTCCTCACTTTCCACGCTTTATTCAACCGCTCACTAATCTGCAAATCTAATGTACTTAATTCCACAAATAAACAACTAGGTCGTCGCAGACATTACACTGCACTTAACAAGACAAGGAATGAGCTCACTCTCCGGAAATTAAAAAAATAAAAAGATAAACCTAATTCCTGCTTCGATAACCCAGAAATAGCTAGCAATCAATCAATAAAGAAAAAGCTAACAATCAAGCTTCCCAATCTGACGAAAGCGAGCACAATATCTAACAGACCAAGTCGCAAAAATGATTCACCGTCAAAAACTTTTTGTACTCCACCGTGTATATCATTTCGTAGATTCTCTCAAATATCTTGAAGACCGCTCTCAACAAACTCCCACTAGTACCAAAATGACTCAAAACGTGGGATCTCGCAGGAAGAAGATCAAAGAGACACTATGAAAAGTGAGGGGAAAAGAAGCAACCTCTTCTGCGGAGACGGAGATCTCGTTGGCCTTTTCCTCTGCCTCCTGGCGGATGAACCGCACCATCTGCTGGATCTGCCTCGAGACATCACCGTCGTTCATTTTGGGACGGAGGGTTCGGGAGATCGCCGGAGAACGGAGTAAGGCAATAGCGAAGAGAAGCTCCGAAGAGATTATAACGTGCGTGGAATCGATCAGTACAGAACGAAAATGAATGATTGCAAGAAAGATCTCAGAAAATGTGAGGGTAGCTGTCCGCGAGCGTGATTTTTTTCACAGTAATATTTCGGTGGGGCACTCTTACAAAATTCTAAAAATCATTTTTTTAATACTCATAAATAAATAAATGTATGCCATACATTAAATTATATGCTCCATAGGCCCCCAAAAAAAATTCACATTATGAATCTCAAAATAAAATTAAAATTAAAATTGTATAGAATTAAGATAATGTGGCAAAAAAACTAATCCATAAAATTAGAATTATGTGGCAATGGTTCTATCAGGGTTGAATTAAGATTTAAAATGGATAATGTAATAAATATTATAATTATTTAAATAAAAAATAAATAATGTAATAACAATATAAATTTGTGACTAAAAATAAATTTAATTTTGTGAACTGAGGGCCTATGCGGAGAATGTAATGAGGTTTGAGTATGAGAGAGGAAGAGAGGACGTGAATTCGAGCGAGGTATGGATTTAGAAAATATATTTATTATCTAAGTCAGATATACAAGAATAATCAAGGCGAGAGCTCTATGCTATCGAGCTTGAGCTAAAAGAGAAAAATGATACAATATTTCATGGATATGATCATGTATAGGTGTGATCTCTCTTATTCTTCTCTCTATTATCCCATGTTCTTGTGTATGTATCCCAATGAAAAAAGTATGTTTCTTGTCATTCCTCCTCCCCCTTTTATAGGGTTCATAAGGATATAGAGATGATTTCATGGATTTGAGAACTATCCTATCAGTCTTTTATTATAGATTGCCTGTTATTGCGTAGTAGGGTGGGGGATTGAAAGAGCGAGCCAAGCAATGTTCGATGATGATCTAAGACTGCCCTGCTGATAATATAAGGAGGGGCGAGTTGCGTCTGGACATGCATAGTCTTTGTGATGTTGTGAGAGAGATTTTTTAAGAGGGGTGTTTGTCGTTGTTTGTTTGTCACATGGGAGACTTGATTTCTGGCTTAAATGGATAAAAATCTTTCTGGTTAAGAGAGAAACCTCTGAGGTCACCCTCTCTCGATAGAGGGACAACTGCCTAAAGAATGTGGCTAGTGCTAGTCTGTTGTGCTCCATTGTTAAACACCTTCTAGAAACTGAGCAAATCCCTTGAACATATTGTTCCAAGAGAGGAGTGGGTCCTCCTTCCGCTGATCACGAACATGACCTGCAAGACTCCTATGAATGGGTAATTACACATGTAGTCATGGGTGTACACCCACATGACTTGAGAGATTTGTTTTATTTTGTTTATATAATTTTTATTGTTTCATGGTTTAAAAGCCCACATGAGATGATAGGCATATGAGTATATCTTGTTGGTGCTTATAAAAATATTTATATTTAAATTAATTTATTAAATTAAATATTTAATCAAACTTTGTAACATAAATTAATTTATTTTAATATTATATAAATTAAGCTTGCCGGTTCTTAAAAATTGCGACTCATTCAACGAGGTTCACACTACTTTGATGTTGAGTCGATTTTTCAGAGAGATTGAACCAGCCATATAACTTGTTCACAGTTGAACCAGTCAGTCCGAATCAATTTTCAAAATCATTAATATAGGTATATTTACAAACAAATTAATAAAATTAAAAGATATTATGATTCATATGAAAATAAACATTCTATATATTCAGAAAACTAATTGGGTTACGAAAACTCTTAAGAGATTGATAGTTTAAGATTAAAACTTTGGTATTCATGTATGAATTATACTTGAAATGATGTATGTGTAATTATAAGTCAGAATTTGAAAAATAATATTATAGAAATTAATAGAATTAGATATAGAATTATAACCTTAAAGATTATTGTTGATGTTAAGATTATTAACGTTATAAGTACTTATGCTCATCAAGTAGGTTTGAATATTGTTTAAAAATAAAATTTGGAATGACTTAGAAAAATTAATGTAAAGAATACCTCTTAAAGATTTTGCTCTAGCATATGATTTTGTAATTGCTAATACTTTGGTGAGTAAAAGTGAAATTATCTTTTAGCATAATGGAATGATTGACCCATTCAGACTCTCTGAGGTTTATTATTGTTGCGGGCTAGAATATACGCGGCGATAGAATTAGTAAATTTTCGTCTCCGGGTTGTATGGATATCCAGCACACAAATAGGAAAGAAAAAGAAACACAATGATTTTTACGTGGAAAACTACGAAAAGGGGAAAACCCACGGTGCCACGCCAAGTTGAAATAATTCCACTAGTATTTGCTTGGAATACAAGAGGCTGACTCATCCTTAAAATTTAGGATGATTAGATTATAATGAATCTCTTCAGGATTGAAAATCAGTTACAACGTCGGGCGGAGATCCGAATTTGTTCTGAAGTTGAGCAGAATTTCGACGTCTTTTGGAAGTCTGGCAGAATTCCAGCGTTGGGCAGAATTCCAACGTCACTTGGGAAGAATTCTTGCGTCAATCGGGAGTCCGACAAAATTCCTGCGTCGCTCGGGCGTCGGGCAAAACTCCGGTGGTGGTCGAGGAGGAGTTATTCCCTTCTATCATTCTCTTCTTCTTCTCTTCTTCTTGCTTCTTACTTCTTGCTTGGATCCCCTCTCAAGAGAAATTATGGGTCTATTTATAGATTTTCTGGAGTGGCATTGCCCGTAAATAGATGGGGGATCAAGGGCGAAAATATATGGAGTGGTTTAGGTGAACAGCCGATATTGAATCCTTCGATCATGGACCGTTTATCAGGTATTGGAAGGTCTTAATGACTTTGGAATTTGAAGATCTTAGGCTCATTGGATTTGTCTCGTCGAGCCACTCGATTTGACTATAAGCTCGTAAAATTTGGAAACTGTTTGGTAACTCAAATTATGGTATAAACTTTCCAACAGCGCTTCGGGTCCTTAATTTGGACTCATTTGGGCTCGGATTGAGTCGAATTTGGTGTCGTTGGGTTCATATTTCTGTGATGCTCAGTTTGACAATAAGTTTGCTAAATCGGAGTTCAGGTGATCCCGAATTTAATTTTTGAAGTTTCTGGGTTGATTTTGCCTTGATATTCGTGCCCGATCAAGATAATTTTTTGATGATATATCAATTATATATTTAGACAAAATTTTATGGTTAACTAATTTTCTTAAGATGGGAAATTGAGGAAGCCTCTTCTTTAAGAGTTTGATCCTGTAAAAATGTTGATGCCATCTCCACTATTTTATTTAATCCTGAGTAAGTTGATTTATCTTTCGGATCAATGGGTTGGAATACCTCTTTACCTTTTTGAATATTTGGAATACCTCTTTACCTATACCTGAAAAGTTTCTGACATCTTTTGGAAACTTTTTTTTTTGGGGGTAAATTGAGGGCTTGGCCCATTCTATTAAAAAGAAAAAGGATTACAAAATTGCTTGCCAGATAAAACAGAGCAAGCAACAAAAATGTAAAAGCAAAAAATTACATCTTTTTTTAAAAAACTGGAAAAGGAACCCAAAAATAGACAGAAAAAACTGTCTGGCCGGGACTCAGAGTAAATTATAAATCATTTTATGATCAGTCTCCTTTGGTTGCCCGTAGACCATCCTAAAGGAGAGGCAGGTATCATCATCGTCCTCGGCCCAAAAAACCTGCCAGTGAAGAAGGCATCCCTTATCGGCAACGAAGCAGCAGCGAATTGATGAAATTGGGAAGCAAACAGAAATTCCACCAACAATTGCCATACATAATTTAGAAACCTGCCAAAAACCATTCCTACCAGCAAGGAATTGCCACAGAAAAGAAGAAAAACGAATCACAATGACAGCCTTTCCTAGCATAGGCTGGTAATATCTTATACTTGCATCCCAAAAAACCATCCCATGAGTGGTTGTAAACTTCCCCAAGATCCTTAAAAAGCAAAGCAATCCAGAAAGAATCATATTGAAATAACAGAAGCCAAGAACATCACCACCCAGCAATCCCCCAGGCTAGAAATTCAAGCATAACCGTAATGCCATAAAACCCAGCATGAGCCTAGTTGTAAGAAATAAAAAGTTTCTCTCTGATAATCTTTCCCCCTTTCCAACTATCCAGCTTTAAATAAGCAATTCTAGAAATTTTTTTAACTAAAGAGACAGCACAAGATAAAGTCCCTTTATGAATTCTATCATTTCTCTCAGTCCAAAGAACATAAATAGTAATATTTAAAAGCAACAGAACGGCGGACTTAAAGTCCCTATTCACATCCAACCCATCAATAAACTGGAGAGCTTGGCCCATGTTTGGTCTGAATAGAAAACACTTCATCTTAGGAATAAGCCTAGTAAGGACAATAAAAGAGTAGTCACATTCAAACAAAAGGTGTGCAGTGGTTTCCGGGGTTTGATGACACAAGGGGCATAAAAAATCCTCAGTAATAACATTCCTGATACGCAAATTTTCTGAAGTCTTAAGGCCATTTGAGAGGGCCAACCAGGAATAAACCGAATGTCTCAAGGAGTGCTTCTTGTGCCAAACAAGAGGAGCCCAGTCAACTACATATTCATAACAGAAGAATTCCCTATAGAAATCCTTAAAAGAGGCATTTTCATTGTTTTCCCAAGTAATGTGATTGGCGTTACCAACAGAGATGGGAATAGAAGTAAAGAACTCCATAATATGGTGATTGAGGAAGTTTGGAAGAAACCAGGAATCTTCACACATCCAAGAAGCAAGAGTGAGGGACTCAGCATTGACTGAAGAAAGGGGGAAATCTAGGAAGGAGTCTATAAAAGAGCCATGTGGGCACCAATGATCCCAGAAGGTAGCAATGGGGCTATTAGCCAGAACATTAAACTTAAAATTGTGTTTAAATCGTGTAGCAGTAATTTGAATATTCTTCCAGAAAGCAGAGCAGTTACGGTTAGAAGGTTTCCAAGGAGAATTGTATCTGTTTTTTAGCCAATTGGAAAGTTGAGAATCCTGATTATACATCCTGAGAATAGTCACACAGTTATAAGCCGATCGAAGAGCTTGAAGAGAAGCAATACCAAGACCACCATTAGAGTGAGGCATAGTAGTATGTTTCCAAGAGATAAGATGTAAACGTTTTGACTGATCACCCCTCTGAAAAAGAAATTTGGAGCAGGCTTTATCAATAGCCTTAACAATAGTTTTAGGAATTATAGAACCTCTCACCCAATAAGCCACAAGGTTGGTAATGGTGTATTTGATGAATTGAAGCCTACCTGCAAAAGAAAGAAGCTTTACTTTCCAGCCAGAAAGCAGGTTAGTAATTTTTTTAATAAGTGGAGAGAAGTCGGAGAGCTTGACTCTCCCCAGGGAGATGGGAAGACCCAAGTAGGAAATGGTGGTGGAGCAATTATGAATTTGAAGAGCAAGGGAAATGGCAGATAGATGAGAAGCAGTGGGTGAAATGAGGAGGGAGCTTTTATTGAGATTGAGGATAAGGACGGAGCAGGAGGAGAAGGTTTGAAGAGTATTCATAAGATTATCACAATTCTGAGTTTCAGCTTTACCAAATATCAATAAGTCGTCAGCATAAGTCAAGTGAGTAAGCTGAAAATCGCCGAATTGAAATCCCTGGAATCTGTTCAAAGTACTGTTCCCATCAATTAGGCAAGACAAGGCATCCACTACGAAACAGAAAAGAAAGGGGCTAAGAGGGCAGCATTGCCGAATACCAGAGGAGGAGCCAAAGAATCCATTAAGTCCCCCATCAATGCAAATTGAGAAATTTATGTCACTAATACATGCTATGATCCACTGAATAAATAACATAGGAGGCCCTTTTTGTTCCAGCCTTTTAAATAAGAATTCCCTAGACACCGTGTCAAAGGCTTTCTTAATGTCAAATTTAGCACACAAAAATTTATCCTTACAATTCTTGGAGATGAAGCCAAGAACCTCAGCCGCAAGGATAGTGTTATCAGATGAAACTCTATTAGCAATGAAGGCAGCCTGACTATGGTGAATGATCTCAGGCATAATGGGCTTGAGCCTACAACCAAGAATCTTGGCAATTATTTTGTGGAAGACGTTACACAGAGATATAGGTTTGAAGTCTTGAATTGACTCAACATGAGTGGTCTTAGGAATAAGAGCAATGGCAGTTGCCTTAGCCCTCTTAGGAAGGTAACATTTTTTAAAAAAAGACTTGACAGCAAGACACACATATATTCCAGTAATATGCTAAGTCTTTTTAAAAAATTCAGTATTGAATCCGTCCGGCCCTGGTGCAGAAGAGGAGCACCCAGCATTAATAGCCTGAAAAATTTCCTCATTAGTAACCAGTAATAGCAGGCTGACCTTGTGAATTTCAGAGATAGTATTCCCAGGAGGTATATCAAGGAGGCTGGTAAGCATTGGAGGGGGAGAGTTGTATAGGTTTTTGAAATGTTGAATTACCCCTTGAAAATCCGTATTGTGTGCATTACCACAGATAGGGGAATTGAGTGCCTCTATTATGGGATTTCCTCATATGGACCTTGGAGTACAAAAATTTGAGGTCCTCTTCACCATGCTTAAGCCACTTAACTTTTGATCTTTGAATGATCCACTTAGCCTTTAAGGAGTTGTAGAAAGCAAGCTCAAGATTGGCCTTTTTAAAATTTTTGCAAAATTCCAGGTTTTGAGGATTCAAATCTACCAACTTTTGGTAATGATCTTGGAGGGAGGCAAGTTCTCTACACTTAAGCTCGAGTGAAGAGGATGAATCCCAGCTTTTAGTTTTGATTCCTTGTTTCAGTGCTTTGAGTTTCTGATAAAGACAGTGAATAGGGTTCCCTTGGGTAGGAGTAGCAAAAGTATCCAACAAAAGCTCCCAAAAATTCAGAATATTACACCAATAGTTTTTAAACATGAATCTCTTGCTAGAAGCCTTCTTAGAGATTTGCTTTAAAAAAAGGGGAGAATGGTCAGATACTAAACAATTACCCACATCATAATGAGAGTCAGGAAAAGCAGCAAGCTAAGCTTCATTGACAAGGATGCGGTCCAGTTTGAGATGGATAGGGTTGTCCATCCTCTGATTATACCAAGTGAAGAAATTCCCAGAAGAATTAAGGTCCACAAGGTTGCAGTCAAAAATGCACGAGTTGAACGGAGCAAGCTTAGAAATATTAAGAAGAGATCCACCAGATTTTTCAGAGCTGTACCGGCAACAATTAAAATCACCAAACACAGCCCAGTCCATGTCGTTGTTAGGACAGCAGTTCCTAAGCTCATCCCACAGAAGTTTCCGTTCCTCAAAGGAGTTAGAAGCATAAACCACCGAGATAAGAAAAGGGAAATAAGGGTCATTAGTAACAATTCCGGTAATGACTTGCTTAGAAGTAGAAGTAACAGAAAAGGAAATCTTATCAGCATTCCATTTAATCCAAATACGACCTGGATTACCAAGATGAAAATTGTTGTAACTCCTCTCATTGTCAAAAATCATGTGAGTCTTACAAAACCAAGGGTCCTGTATGTTAGAGAGCAAAATGCGATTTTCCAAAATACAAAACATGTCTAAATCCTGTTCAGAAGTCATCTTCTTGCAACAAAAAACTTTGTCAGGGTTATTGAATCTCCTAACATTCCAAACCGCAATGTTTGGAAGGATCATGATTTGCTATTTGATTTAGGGCCTTTCTTGGTGCCCTTTCCCCTTGTGTTTTTTAGTGGCTGATCAGGTTTCTTAGAAGAGGAAATAGAAGTAGACTGTTTGTTATTTGGTGGAGGAGAAGAGCTGGCCGATTCAGTATGAGATTGCTCGTTGATACAGTCTTCCAAGTTATTGTTGGAGTTAACTTCTGAGTCAGAGAGCAGTTGGAGAAGGTTGAATTTATTGGGTGAAGTAGAGTTTGGGAGAGGGGAGTTCTGATGAATAGATTTCAGGTTAGAGGATTTTGGAGAAGAAGAGCTAGGCTGGGCAACTTGTTTTTGAAGGCTGGGCTGGGGATCTGGTTGGTCAGAGGAAGAGGTAGAAGGAATGGTAGGAGAGTTGAGATTTGGGATGGTGGCTGGATTGGAGAGCAAACCAGTTTGAGGATTGGAGGCCGTAAGTCCTGAAGCTGCATTAATGACTTGGACTTCAGGAGTTAATTCGTCAGGTGATGTAGCAACGGGTGGCCGATCAATGGCTTGTTGAGTTTGCTGCTGGGTAGGAGCAACAATCTCAGGAGATGGAGAAATACGGGACTGTGGAGGAGGGAGCAGCCCAGTTGGGTTTCTGGATTAAGGTCTAGGCCTGCGGCTGGAGCTCCTACCGCGCGGAGGTTTAGGGGGGAGGGAAACAGTGGGATTGGGATTGGAGGGGCAAGAATCAGATGAGTGATTGAAGGACTTACATATTTCACAGGTTGAAGGACGCCATTCATACTCGATGACAAGGTTAAAAAGTTTCCCTTCCACAGTAATCAGAACCGTAGCAGGGTAAGAAGCAGAGGAATCCATAAGAACACATACTCTGGCGTAAGTAAGCCTGGATTTTGAAGCAGTAAGAGAGTCGACAGCTACCGGAGAACCAATTTATGTGGCAATCTTAGAAATTCCGACAGGGGTCCAGCAACACAGCGGAAGATCATGGATTTTGAACCAGATGGGCACACTTGTGAACTCCTCACGTTTAGGACTAAAGTGAGAAGTCCATTTACGAAAAATGAATGGTTTACCAAAAATAAACCATGCACCTTTGTTCCAAACCATATCAAAGTCCTCACGGCAAGAGAACTTAAAGAGAAAGAAACCATCACTGAGAGATATGAGCTTGATATTACCTTTGAGCTCCCATAACCTCTTAACAACATTAAGCAAAGCTCCATAAAAAGGACGTTTACCCAACGAGTACCCAACAAGCGCAAGGTTCCATTCTTCCACAGCATCGACAATATCCAAAGTAGGGAAGTCTATAATTTCATCTGGAGTCGGAAGAGGGGAGATGTTAAACTCTCCAGTAGGTGGAGGGTTGGAAAAAACGCGATCCCATGGCAAAGGGGTAGAAGAACTGGCAAAAGATGTAGAAGAGGAGTTGGTAAGTGGAGGAAAAGAAGTGGGGTTAAGGGAGGGATCCATAGGATCCCTCCAGGCGGGAATGGAAGAAAGAACGCGGGAAGAAAAAAACCACGGCAAACCCTAACAGAGTTTCTCACACTAAAAACTTAAAGAGAGATAAAAAATGCTGTGAAAGTTCTTTTGGAAACTAAGCTACTCATTTATATCCTCTTTGTTTATGTTGTAAATCTTTAACGGTTTCATTTTATTCTAGTGGATGCATGGCTGCATCCGATGCTTTAAGGTCAATGGATTATTTTGGCCTCTAAAATGCTAATATTGTGTTCATATTGGATATATCAAGCATATATTTTCATCTCATGGAACTTAAGAGTGTCAATAAATGACCTGATTGTCATCACAACCCTCACCTAACCAAAAAAACAAAAAAAAGATTCGGGTTGACCCATTTAATAAATAGGTTTGGATTGGGTTTTCCAATCCGTTTATTAAACTGGTCTGGTCAAGTTTAAGTTGACATGTGAACTCATTATTGACTTGAAAATGACTCATTTAATATATTTTTTCTTAATTTTTTAAATATTTTGGTATAATCTTATTATTTTTAATCAAATATCTTAAATTTTATAGTTAATAAATTATAAAAAAAATTAATCAAAACATATTAATGGGTAGGGTTTTGGTCATTCAGTTTGCTAGTGAGTCTTATTCGAGTTGATTGGATTTCACTCGGGTCAATTTTGAGTTGGACCTGAATCCAATCTGTCAACCCATTTTAACACCCCTAGTGAAACTAGTACTTAATTGTGGTACCATTTTGCTCATTATTTTGATATTATTTTTTAGAATTTTCAACATTGGCACTTGGTATCTCAAGTGGGCTAACACTAACATCAATGTGACTAAACACTAAATGTCACAATTCTACTATTTTCCTTGCTATAATTTGTTCATTGCATTGGAATGCTAGGAGTTGTGATAAATATAATAACAACCATTTTCATTTATCAATTAAGTATGATTTATTGTAGTGTTAAAGAGATGAGTTTTTTTAGTGAATTTAGAAGTTATTATGACCCAATTTAAAGATAGAATTTTTTAATATTCTAGTTAGCCTTTTAAATATTATGACCTCTACCAAAATATTAATCACATTGTTATTTCCTCTTATTTTAACCATATTTAAGGGAAATTTAAATGAAATACTAGGAGTTCTTACAAAGGGAGGGTTGATATTGATTCTTAGGGTGGGACCCTCAAGGATGCTTATGGTTATATGTTATTTTTTTCATTTTTACAAATTTCTTTGCAAAAGCTCAAATTTGAAAGCTTCTTTATTGGACCTTAAATGGGTATTAAGGTTTTGTTTGGGATATTTTTCTTAATGTTTTTTAAAACAATTTTTTTAGCACAATTTTTTTTAAAACTATAAATTTTTGTACTGAAAAATTGCTTTAGAAATCAATAAAAAAGCTGTGCCAAACGAAACCTAAGTAATATGCTTTGACGAGTATTTAAATACTTATCATAGAGATTAATAATGAGAATACTTTCAAATTTATTTGTGATAAAAAATCTTTTATAAATGATATTCATAGTATTAAATGAAACTTTTGGATGAAATTAGCCAAATACACTAATAAAATTAACTTTATCAACCATAATACCAATATTGTTGTTAATTTATTGATTGATTTGAGTTTTATTCATAGATATAACCTTACTTTTCAAAGTTCAGGTAGACTTGCTTAAGGATATTGCTTACCATGATAAAATTAAGTGTCCTTATCTTATTAATTAATTTTTATGATGCTACACTTTTGTTTGAAGTTTATATTTTTTGGTTTGCATGGTTGATTGCTTGGTTGTCTGAATGGTGATTACTATGATTTTATTTGAGATAAATTTCTTAAAGCTTTTTAAAGTAACTTTTTATCACAAAAATTTTTTGAACTATAAAATTTTGTCTTAGAAAGCTGATTTAGAAAATA